GAGGGGGATGGGGGGATGGGGTAGCCCAATGATAGGTATTAAGGATGGCATGTATTGCATGGAGCGCTGGGTGTTATAAGCAAACAATGAATCATGGAACACTACATCAAAAACTAATGATGTACTGTATGGTGACTAACATAACATAATAAAATAAAATTAAAAAAAAATAAGCCATAGGAAGGGCTGGGATCACCTCTGAAACATCAGATAGAGAAGAATAGAGATCCAAGGTCTGAGCGTTCATGGACTCCTACCTTTAAAAGTTATCAGGGAAGAGGAGATAATAAAGGTGATAAGAAGTAGCCAATGAAATAGTTGAGAGGGGATGGAATGAAAAAGAGGATGGAGGAGGAGAAGGAGGAGAACAACAACAGCAACAACAAGAGGAAGAAGTGGTGGAGGAGGAGGGTGAAGAGGAAGAGGGAGAGAAGGAGAAGGAGAAGTAATGGTGGTGGTGGTGGGAGTAGTAGTTTGGCCTCTGAAGGGGTTGGGATGCTTTAACTATAAAAAGAAGGCAGTGAATGTGGGTACAGATGCAGGAAAATGAGTATACTTAGTGAAGGGAACATATGAGTTCCCATCTCATTGCTTCTAATTTCTCAATGACTAGGAACTGAGAATGATGAAGGTAAAAGGATGAGGGTGTGGAAGAGGTTTGAATGGATAAGTATAAAATAGTCATTTCAGAAAGTGGGAAGGAGAACATAACTGGGGACTTAGAGAAAGATTGTTGGGCAATGTGAAAACCTACTTTAGATTTGTAGCCATAAATGTAGGGTGAGACCAATAGTCTCACTGTGTGTTTTCCCACGGCCCCAAAGCACTGCTCATGCATAGGCATGGAGTAGGCAACCAGATTGGCTTAACCAGAATCAATGCTGACAACCCCAGAGGGGGAGCAAGGCAAAGGAATTAACAATACTTTCAAAGGAGTAATATCATGATGGAATCCAAGCTGAGTAAATAAAAAAGTGAGGACATGAGAAGTGATGCAAATACAAAAAGAATTGAGGCCAATGGATTGGTGACCTCCAAGTGACCAAAATTTGTTGATATGGGGATATTAGAATACCTGAGCAGGTAATATATGAGTTGATAATTGGACTGCTTAGAATTAAATTTCAGAGATGATAGAATTAATGCCAAGGTCAAAATTATATAAAGGTTAAGGTGGAAAGGAGAAAAAGATCATTGCAAAAGATTATTGCAAGAAAGTAGATTAAGGAAGAGGCCAAGATGTTGGTAGGGTTATCCACCTGGATATTGAAGCCACCAAAAGTGGTGACAGGAATAATGGAGAAAAGAATATGACCCAGGTGTTGACAATTTTAATGAATGAGAAGGGGTAACTAAGGGGTCAATAGGTGATTGCAATGAAGAGAGGTGGAGGGAGGGTATAATGTAATGACATAATCTTCAAGGGAGTTTGGGTCTTTGAAGGAGAATTAAGAAGAAATGATTCTGGGGTGCCTGGGTGGTTCAGTCGGTTAAGTGTCTGCCTTCGGCTTAGGTCATGATCCCAGCGTCCTTGGATCGAGCCCCGAGTCAGGGTCCCTGTGGGGAACCTGCTTCTCCCTCTCCCTCTACCCCTCCCCCTGCTCATGCTCACCCTCTCTCTCAAATAAATAAATAAAATCGAAGAAGAAGAAGAAGAAGAAGGAGAAGGAGGAGAAGGAGGAGAAGGAGAAGGAGAAGAAGAAATGATTCAGAAGCAGCAAAGGTGAGCAAAGTCTAGAGGAACGTGGATTTTCTCAAGACAGCTGGGAAACTGTTCTCAGGAAACGGCTCTCAGGGCAAGATGATGGAAGTATTTAGAGATGAGGCTGAGGACATGGGGACACTTGTCAATGACAGGAGGTTCTACAAGGCCCAGGACTTTTTAGAGGGGGAGATAGGAAATTGGGTTAGATTAAGAAATTTCTGAAATATGTGGATAATAATAATTCCTACCAGATAGGCTAGTTGTGAGCCTTAAATGAGATAATGTATGCCAACCATTTTGCACAGTGTCTGGCACAGAATAAGTGCCCTCTGAGCATCAGCCTTAACCGTTATTGTCATAACTGGTGAGTAACAGGGTCAGCACTTGAACCCAGGCCTTCTCCTTCAGATGGCTCTGGCATAAGGGACTGCACAGAATCAGCAGTGAGAGTTTCTTCAGGTCTCACTAGCCTCTCTATGCCTTTCTGTACCTACAGGAAACAGTGCTGCCTAATAGAAACTGTCATGATGATTACAATTAAACCTAAAGTCAACAATTCACCAGCTACTGGTTGATAGCTTGTTTGATTTTAATATTCTCTTCGATGGGGTGGAAGTGAAGCATATCTTAGTGTATTTGTCTATTTGTATAGGGCTGCAATATGTTTCAAACTGTACCCATTTGTTTATGTTTAATTGCTTTTTAAAGTTTAGAACTATAACTACTCCACTGTTTACCTAACTACTCCACTGTTTACCACTGTTTACCTGATGAAAAGCACCTCTAGGAAGCTCACTATCCTCCCAGATACATCTCCTTACTATTGTTTTAAATGATGTGGAATTTCCTAAATGAGATTTTCCTCAACCAGTGTGACTTGTTCTTTAAAACTTGGGTATAGCTTGCATTTCAATAGCATTTTGTGCAAAATAGGTGTTCCAACCTATATGTCTACAGACAAACATGTATTTTTCACAGCATATCTTCCAAGGAGCAGGGAATTACACATATCTGTGACTGTCAAAATAATTTCAACAAAAGCAATGATGAAAATAGTAATTTTTATTTAAGTAGTATATCTATCCTGCATTCCATCCACTGTGCTAATCTCTTTATTTATTTATTTTTAAAGATTTTATTTATTTATTTGAGAGAGAGGGAGGGAGAGGTGGAAGGGAGGAGAAGAGGGAGAGGGACAAACAGACTTCAAGCTGAGCATGGAGCCCAACACAAGGCTTGATCTCAAGACCCTGACATCATGGCCTGAGCCGAAATCAAGGGTTGGATGCTCAACCAACTGAGCCACCCAGGTGCCCCTGTGTTAATCCCTTTAGAAAACATAGATGTATTTAATCCTGACAACAACCCTGAAAGCATCTCCATTTTTTCCAAATGAAAAAAAAAGTGGTGTTTGAAGAGGTTAAATAACTCATCCAAGGTCACAAACAAGTAAGTGGTCAGGATTCAAACCCAGGCGGGCCTGTTTCCTACCCTAAGGAAGAGTCCTGGGCACAAAATGGGTCATTAGAGAGGACTCAGTTACAGAGTACAAATCACTCTCAAACGTGCTGTCTCTTCTCCTCCAAATAATTTTGACAGGTTGTCTGCATTTAGTGCTATATTTTTCAGTGTGATCCCTGATACCATATCAGCATCACCAGGAAACTTAAGAAAATACAAGTTTGATTCTATTGAATTTCTGGGTGGGGCCCAGCACTCTTGAGTTTTAAAAAGCTCACCAGGTGATGTGAGAGCTTTTAAAGCTAGACTTAGAGATGCAGATAGCATTGAGGAAACTTGTAAAGGATGGTGGGAGACAAAGTCTTCTCAGTGTTCTTTATTTCCTGAGGGCTTTCTACTGCAGCCTTACCTGCATAAGGGACTGCATAGAGTCAGCCCAGTGAGCTTCTCTGGGTCTCACTAGCCTCTTGATGCCTTTCTGTACCTAGAGGATACAGTGCTGCCTAATAGAAATTCTCATGACAATTATAATTAAACCCTAAGTCAACAATTCACCAGTTACTGAAGGCTGGTTTGCTTTTAATATTCTCTCCTGTGTGGTGAAGAAGAGCTGGGGAGGAGCTGTTCTGAGCTGTGTTTGCCCACCTGCACCAAGAGCCTGAGCTGTCATAGCCTTGGGGCAGAAGATGCTCTTCTGCACAAAGCACCAACTAACTCAATTAATTGTCATGGTCAGAGGCATTTGCAGCCCAGAAAAATTCAATTTGAGGCTAGGAGTGCAGCTTGGAGCCTTGCTTGGAATTGTCCCCTTAAAAAATTAGATTTAGTGCTTTTCATTGTATGCTGAGCTGTATCAGGTCCTTATCAACTTCCCCTCTGGCCCTATAAGCCTCTCCTCCCTACAGGGACTGAATGGCACATAGCCTTCTCTGTTCCCTTTCCTCAGGCTTCCTGGGAAGGTCCAGAACCTCCTCTCTAAACTCAGATGAGTCACAAGGACATCTCTCCATGAAGCAGAAGAAGCTTCATGGCACCTCCATAAGCACCTTGTTTTGTTAGAGGTAAAAGGATAGATAAAGAGAAATCTAGGGGAAGGGGAGTTGAAGAGAGAAAAGTGTGGGTGGTAATGATGGTGCATATTAATATTCTATAGGTGCAAAGCATTTCCACATATTATGCCATTTATTTCTCAAATTATCCTTTGAACTAAACAGTATTCCAATGCCCATTTCAGAGATGAGTAAGTTGGTGCTCAGAAAATTGATGTGGTTGGGTGCCTGGGTAGCTCAGTTGTTAAGCGTCTGCTTTCGGCTCAAGTCATGATCCCAGGGTCCTGGGATCGAGTCCCGCATCGGGCTCCCTGCTCCGCGGGAAACCCGCTTCTCCCTCTCCCACTCCCCCTGCTTGTGTTCCCTCTCTCGCTGTGTCTCTCTCTGTCAAATAAATAAATAAAATCTTTAAAAAAAAAAAAAAAGAAAGAAAATTGATGTGGTTTGCACAAGTTTAAATAGCCAATCAATGGAGCTGAAATGAAACCCTTGATCTTTTGACTAAAAATCATCAATCATTCTACCACATTGCTAGGTATGTTGTCACTCCACTGACCCTCTCAACCCCTCCCACCCTGCCCTTCTTGGGCTGCTTCTTGGAGGTGTTGCCTGCCCACTCAGTTTTGATTTACAGGTGTGGACAGAGAAGATAATTCTACAAAGGAAGCCCATTGTGCCTCTGTGACCCTGAAGACCTGGGCCTGATAGTGCATCTCAATTACTTGGGAAAGGGCCCATTGCATACACCTCTGCCCAAGCCCAAGTTGGGGAGCAAAGTCACTTACCTAACTGCCACTCAGGCGAGCGCATGGTCTGCATCATCCAGATGGGCAGTGTGGGCTCCAGCATGGCCACTCCCATGTTAGCAAAGCAGAGGGAGCCTGGAGAGAGAGTTCTGTGAGTCACCAGGGCTACACAGAAGCCCAGACTCTCCCAGCCCAAAGAAAGGCATTTTCAGCTTACCTGCAGCCACCAGGATATAAGGGTCTTTGAGAAGTGTAAGGAGCGGTGTCCCCCTGGCACTCTGAGAACATGGACAACAAAAAACTTCCATTTGTACAGTGTACATCTCTCCTATTGTCATAGAATCTGAAAATATGCAGACAGGACCTTAGAGATCATCTATGTCAGCTCCTTTACTGAAGAGACCAAACAACCGAATCAAAGGAGATAAAGTGACTTGCCCAATGTCACAGTCATCTGGCGATGCACCTCCTGTGTGCAAGGCAAACACTGTGGTAGTCACAAAGAGTAGGACATATTCCAGACATGATTCCTGCTTTCAAATGATTATCTCAACTAGATGAGAGTGGGTAGTCAGCAAGGCCAGCAATGGACAATGGGTGTCTGGACTCTCGGCCTTGGGCCTCACCACTAGATCTTGCTGGCACTAATTGTTTGCCTTGGGAGAACCACAGGTAGAGTGCTGAATCCCAAAGGTGAGCACAGAGGTGATAACTCAGAAAGCTCCTCAAGCATTCTGGAAGCTTTATTCTGACCATTTTGAGCCATACTGGCAAGTCTAGCTGAAGGTGTCTGAACATCTAGATTAAAATGCAAGCCTAAGTGTTCAGTTCTGATTTCCCCCTCCCCTCAGAAAATATTTATTCCAATTCAACTCAATCACTCCGCCTTCCTCCCATGCATCCCAGCAGGTTATTTTTGCCTAAACTATGTTCATGGTTGGTTATTTTTGCCTAAACTATGTTCATGGTTGGTTATTTTTGCCTAAACTACCTTCCTTCTCTCTACAGGTCCAACTCCTACCCATTCTTCAAAGTCAGTCTTAAATGGCTCCTTCTTTTCCACTGTATTCCCTGACTCAGTAGCTGAAACTTCTCCCTCTAACAAACTTCCTGATCTGTGGTGCTAACTACATTCTATCTGATAATAGATTTAATAGTTTTGATATAATAACCCTCTCTGCATACTTACAGGGGTGGATTAAAATATTCAGAGATACTAAAGCGAAATATATAATTCAAAATACAGAGACAGATCTAAATCACAAAATACACATAAAGAAGTCCAATAGGCCCTTTAGCCTAACAATTCCACTTCTAGGAATTTATTCTATAGATTACCTCCAATGTTACAAAAATGCATATACCTAAGGTTATTAATTGTAGCACTCTTTATAACTGCAAAATACTGGAAGGCAGAAAAATAAAAATTAAATTTTTTGAATATGTAGAACATATTCAATGTAGAACATTACCATCTAAGTCAAAACTATTCAGAAAGATATTAAAGGAAAATAATTTCTCCTTTCCCAACACTTTTGGTACCAAATGTGGGGGCTTTCCCACCAAACAATTATTCAGTTCTCTATGGGCACCAACTCAGTGTCTTATAATGTAATTCAATTCTGACACTGACTACTTGGAGTTAGCACAGACCCCACAGGTAAAGGGCTCAGTCCCACAAGACTGCCCCCTTTCAGATCCCAATTGCAAATAGTGGGTTCCCAGGTTACCCACACTTCTGTCTGACTTGGCTATAAAATCAAGGTTTTTAGATCAAACTTTCCCATATTTTCTGTACTTCCTTATCTTTCATTCTTTGTAGTTTGATATGGATTTCCCCAGAGCCATCTTTGGCTTGGAGTCAGACAAATACCAACTCTGATATTTAACCATGATAGAATGATAGTCTGTAAAGATGCTCTTGGGGGGAGAGATTATCTAAACAGCCTCTAAGGTCTTCTCTAGCTCTGAGGTGTTGTAACTATGAACATACAGGTCCCAATGTCATTGTCTCCTGGTTCTGAGTTTATATATATAATTTTTGTAATGTTTCTTTGATTCTTCATAAGGCCCTTCCTCCATCTTTGTCCAACATCAGTCCAGACTCCCCCACCATCCCCAGTGCTACCCTAAATATGATACCATCTGGGAATCCAAGTATAGTTCTTACTTTCCTTGACTCCACTCCTCTTCACCTTTCTTCTTATGGTTTGACAGGGATGATCTAGGGGTCTTAGCACATAGCCATTCTATATATCCCTTGGCAATGGAGCTTAGTGTATACTTACTTCAGGAGAGACTCTGGAAGGCTGTAGGATACACAGCTGGAGTGCTAAGAAAGAAAGTGGGAGAGAAAGAGTTTATTTTGTCCACTGATTAGTTGGAGGCTCCAGTAATAGCCACATTGATATTACCCTATCATGTACAGATCTAACTCCCTGAGTTTCTTCCTTCTTTCCTAAAATGGGGCAGTCCTTGATCTTTTAAGCATGTCAAGACTAACACCACAGCATAGTGCATTCCCAACCTGACTTAAGTTATCATCTGTCTGGTGACCTCTTATGGTGACTTACCTCCATCCAGTAGTGTCAGGAAGGCCAATATGAGGAAGGGTGAAGACTGCCCAACAAATACATACATCACACTTCCAAAAGGAGCTCCCACTGGAAAGGCAAAGCAGGCATGGATTTCAGAAGAAAGGACCAATTCCTAGTTGGTGTGACTTGTCCACATTTACCAATGAACCTCCATGTAAGGTTCTGGGGATTCAGGAATGAAGAAGTCCTGGTTCTCAGGAGCTCACTTTCTAGTAGAGAAAATGCATGTGGTGGGGTTGGGGTAAGGGGACCCATATAATTAGAACATGGTGAAGAGTAGAGTTCAACAGTAAAGGTTCAATCTACAAGATGCTGTGCAAACACAGTGCAATGAGTTCAGGTGGCCACAACGGCTTTGTCACATGGGTAATATAGGTGGGGAAGAAGCATAAGTGAAGATCATTGATGTGCCATAAAAGAGAGTATGGTTGCAGTATGGAGGTTCCTCAAAAAGTTAAAAATACAGCTACCCTACAACCCAGCAATTGCACTACTAGGTATATATCCAAGGATATAAATATAGTGATTCAAAGGGGCACATGCACCTCAATGTTTACAGCAGAAATGTCCACAATAGCCAAAATACAGAGAGAGCCCAGATGTCCAATGACAGATGAATGGATAAAGAAAATGGTGTATATATATATATATACACACACACACACAATGGAATATTAGCCATCAAAAAATGAAATCTTGCCATTTCCAATGACATGGATGGAACTAGAGGGTATTATGCTAAGTGAAATAAGTCATCCAGAGAAAGACAAATGCCATATGATTTCACTCATATGTGGAATTTAAGAAACAAAACAGATGAACATAGGTGAAGGGAAGGAAAAATAAAATAAGAGGAAAACAGAGAGGGAGGCAAACCCTAAGAGACTCTTAACTATAGGGAACTAACTGAGGGTTGCTGGAGGGGAGGTGGGTTGGGGGGATGGGGTAACTGGGTGATGGACATTAAGGAGGGCACTTGAAGTAAGGAGCACTGGGTGTTGTATGCAACTGATGAATCACTGAACTCTACCTCTGAAACTAATACTACACTATATGTTAATTAAACTGATTTTAAATAAAAAAAAATTTAAAAAGAGTGTGGTTGGATAACAAATAGAAGAAAATCAGTATTCAGTGTTCAGTCACTAAAATATGAGTATTTGGGAGAGGAAGAGTAGAGGTAGGGAATGTTGAGGCCAAATAGTCAAAGGCCCTGTATATCCAGATAAAGCATCTCCTTGGTCTTGTGGGCAATGGAGAAACATGTTTTTTAGCAGGAGAGAAATACCACCAGCTCTGGGCATAGGAAGCTTCTTCTGGTGGCACCTTGGGGGAAGGAGGGAAGGCACAAGAGATTAGGCAGTAGGCTGATTCCAACTGAGGTGTGATGAGGAACCGACCTTGAGGAAGTAGCTGTAGAGAATATTAATGGGCTTATCCATTTGGAAGTGAGAAGTGATAAAGGAGACCAGATGTACCAAAGTTTTAGCTTGGGTGTTTGGGAAAATGGATATTAACAAAGAGCAGGATTTTTGTTCCCTCTTCTCCCTGGGTTGTGGTGGGGGGGGGTGAGTATGGACCAGGAAGAGACCTTTGGTGTTTTCTCCTCAACTAGCTTGTGAGCTCCTAGAGGGAAGGAACCATGTGTGAGGCTTCTTACCTATATCCCCTGTGTGCTAGCATTGTCCTTGGCATATAGTAAGTGTTCCATAAAATATGTGACTTGTTGGAATAGTCAATCAATCTATACGAGGGATGAACCTCAAAGAAAGTATGTTATTTTTTAGAGTTTGGGGTTTGAGTCCAGAAAATCTGAGTCTATATCCTGGCTCTGGCATTTTCTAGCTATGTAATCTTGGATGGTTACTTAACTTTTTTGGTCCTCATCTCTATAATGGAGACAATCATTCCTCCTTCATAGTGGTGTGAGGATTAAAAGAGATTATGTCTGCGATGTATTTAGCACAAAATCTGACAAAGAGCTTCTCTCATTTTGAAAGCACTGGCCATGTGTGGAAGCAGAGGTGAGGCAGTGGCTGCTAACATGGGGATATTTGATCACTGGAATAGACTAGGTTTCTTCCATTCCCAGGACCTCATGGGCTATTAAGCTTCTTAACGGGAAAGAGATTTTGCCTTTCCTGGGAAAAATTTCAGAAGGACTCAAAACATGATTGGACAGAAAAGGAAAGAAAATCCTCTCTTCCATGACCCTTAGGAACACTTGCCTCCTGGAGCCATCTTCGAAGAGTATGCAGTATCTTACCCTCTGAACCTAGATTTGGGACCAGGTGCTACTTACCCAGCACTCCCAAAGCCAGGCCCCCCAAGGCGATTCCCATGGCACGCCCTCTCTCATAGTCATCAGTGTAGACACTTGCCAGCATCCCAAGACCTGAAAGGAGAGTGACATGGAGTTAGCATACAGAAGCCCTCTGTCTGCGTCTCTCACTGAATCCTTGGTCTATTAGTTCTTAGTCCTCTATCCTTATTATATCTTCAGGGATCATCTTACCTATGGTTGCAGTTTGAGGGGTTTTGTAAAACTTAGTCCATAGTATTTTACAAATACTGTCCCCATTGGTCCCCCAAACCCCCACATTGTTCACTCCTTCTGTTCACAATATTGTTGGAAGTGTGAAAGTCTCTGGGAAGGGTAATACAGAATACCACTGTCCATTGATAGAGCATTTCATTGCATTTTATCATTTCCTAACACATTTCCCTGAATGAATGGGGTGGGTCAAAGGAAAATCTAACAGACACAATTCTATTCAATGGAGGTGCCCAAAGAAGAGGAAAGTACAGAAGATGTGAAAGACAGCATGGGCTGGGCTCTTCTAGCATTTACTCATGTGTAAAATGGCATAAAATAGCTACTTCATAGGATTATATTAAATATTGTATTTGTATTTGATGATACTTTGCAAAGTGATAGTGTTACTGGTAGTATTAGCATTACTTGTCTTATAAAATGTTAAGAGGGGGCAGAGAAAAGACCATAGGGGGCATTAAATAAAAAACTGGCTTACTTCATGGTTTTACCTTGGGCTTGCTTCGGCCTGAACTGGCTGTATCTAAATTTTATCAGAGGAAGTTACGTCAGGCTTAGGGATTTATAACACTGACAATAACTCTACAGTTATCTTGTTTTTGAATCATAATTTCTGCTCACTAGGATACTTTCCTATCTATTCATATAAATCTTATAGGGTCTGAGGGTAGTAAGAGATGGTAAGAGATGTATGTGTGTGTATGCATGTGTGTGTGTGTGTGTGTAAGATGTGAGCATTACCTGCAACAGATGAAAATGAAGATCCAATGCCTTGAAGGGTTCGGGCCACAAACAGTAGGGTATAGGTACCAGAAAAAGCAAACACTGTGTATAGAGAATAGCAATAATGCTCCAGTTAACAAATTGTCTTTGTTCCCTCACCACCAGAAAATGTGCCCATGATATTGTAGATATGAGCCACTATATATATGTTTTAAAAAAGAATGATCATTGCCCCCTATTTTTGGAGTTGTCTTTCTAATCTCCCACACCATAATCAGGATTGCATTTTAATTGACATGAAACTGAGAAACCACAGAAACACAAACCAATTCACCACACAGTGGATAGAAGCCTGCATTTTCACATTTCTGACCCAAAGCTCAGTATCCTGTCCACTGGAATCATGGCTGTCCAAACAGTACAATGCCATTAGACCCTACTTCTCAATCCTTCATATTCAACACCCAGATTTAACTTTTGCCATTGTTGGGCTCCATTGGGTCATCTACAGTGAGGGAATAAAAGCTATGTGTAATTGAAGGACCATAGGTATTGGGTAGAAAATAGTATCTTGTGATCCAATCAGATATTATTTCCCCTCACCTTATGCTGGAAAATATTTTAGCCAAATCAAATCAGTGAATGTGCATTAAGTAATATCAAACATACAACTATACTAGAAATGTGAAATAAAGAGAATATCCAGTTCATGCCCTTTAAGAGGTTCCATCTACTCAAGACTAGCATACACAAAACTAAGTACCAAACAGGAATATGTTATCAAAAACCAAATTACAGGGTGTTGGTGGTAAGCTTGGTAATTCCAGACATGTCTCACCTCCATTTCAAGACAATGCCATTAAAAGAAAGATTCCTCCCAAAGTATCTGAATCAGCAGAATTTAAATCCCTTTGCCCTTTCGTTACAGATATATTTGGTTGTTTGATGTCCTACAATCTTTTTCCATTATTTCCTGATGTGATCACACTGTCTCCCAAACATGCATGTGCTTGGTCTCTCTTTGCTGAGTTTCCAATGCCTTCTCCTAGGCCTTCTGATTTCTAATCTGTTCAAGGTTAGCTATTCTTATGTCCTTTTTTTTTTAAGTTTTTTAAAAAAGATTTTATTTATTTATTTATTTGACACAGAGAGAGAGCACAAGCAGGGGGAGCGGCAGGCAGAGGGAGAAGCAGGCTCCCGGATGAGCAGGGAGCCCAACACAGGACTCAGTCCCAGGACCCTGGGATCATGACCTGAGCTAAAGGCAGATGCTTAACTGACTGAGCCACCCAGGCGCCCCATTCCTATCCTTTGCGAATGCAGTGACCAACTTGTCTCAGTTTGCCAAGGACTTTACATTCTGGGAGGACCCTGAATCCCAAAGGATGGTTGGTCATCTTATTTAGGAAAACCAAAACAATTTCTTTCTCACTTAACCCCCTAACGTGGGTTACCATTTCGCTCCTAATTACATTAAGCATGGGTCTCAGCTAGGGGCCCTTAATGGTGGTAAGGGGCATCAGCAACCTCTTTTTAGTATTTAAAAAACCCTAAAAAGATGCCCCATAAGATTCCCTAAAGACCAAACATTTGCTAGAATTAGGCCAATTCAGTACAGCAACACTGGTTATGGCATGGAAACAATAATTATTATTTAATTGCAGAGAATCAAGCAAGGCCCTTATGCTAGAGTTTGCGATACTCTAGCATTATCCTATTTTGCAGGGTGTTTGTTACATCTCTCCAGGCATGTATCATAAACTCCTAGGCTGGAACCATGTCATTTCATTCTTTATCTTCCCGCAGTGACTTTTGCCATCAAGACATAATATGTGTGCTCCATAAAGTGTTTTAGAGAAAATTATGAGTCTCATTTGATGAAACAGAGAATCCTATTAGTTTTTAATTTATTATTTGGCATAGGCTGAGATTTTAGAAGTTCAATAAACATTTCTAACTTGAATTTCCTCATTTTGTTTGATTTAGCTAGAATTTTCACAAGTAAGCTCCAGTTCTCAGAACTTTACACATCAAGCTTCTGCTCTTTGCAACCTTCCAGCCTTGACTGCAGCAAATTCCTGTTAAGCATTGGTTGATAAGAGCCAAGCTATATGCTGATAGGGAAGAAAACTTGAGGAGGAGCAATAGAAAAAGCAGAAAAGCAATAAAAAGTTGATAAGAAAAACAGGAGGTTGGAGATATGTTATTGGGAGCAGAGTCAGCAGAAGCATCAGGGAGCCAACAATGGCTCCAGAAGCTGCCTTCTCCTTCAATTAACCTCCCACCCCACCCCACCCCCCATCATTCCTTCTTATTTTAATTCTCAGGGTCAATTTCCAGACATAATTTGTTTACTTATTGCTCTTATTCCATCTCTATTTTATTAGAACATTTATCTGATACTGGATAGACTGTCTTCCTCTTTCTTGTTTTTTTTTAGCAAATTTATTTCTCTAAGCTATAACCTTTAATGTCCTTACTTGAAGGCAATAGACTTTTTGGTATTATCTAGTTACTATTGTTCAGTTTAGATTCTTTGCTGGTGGCTTTTTACCTTTGTGTATCAAATAATACAACCTCTTCCCAAAGATGGGATATTTGGACTAACCTCATTCAAGGGACTACTGATACACACACACAACAGCATATCTATTAAAACAACTGTTAACAATTTTCCCCAGCTGAAGGAAGTAAAGTATCTGTTCTTCTATAGCAGAATATACAAATTCCAACTAGACTGATTTGCCACTACTGCTCTAATGCCCATATCTAAAACTGCAAAGGATTTCAATCAGTGTCATAAGCCATTTAGTCAGATGCCTAATTAGCTACCTTGACCCTACTCTCTGCATTGTAGCGCATGTGATAAAATCAAAGGTAATCAGTGAAAAAAATAAAAAAAGGAAGCAAATTACTTACTAACTGTGGAGACAAACAGGATAACAAAGCCAGCAAACATGGGGATGTGATATCCAATTCTAAAAGAGAATTACAAAGAAAAAATATACAGTCCCAATAGGCATCTATATACTTGGACCATATTTTTTCATGTAATTGGGAACAGAAATGCAGTTATTTGAGTACGTGGAAAAGCATGTCTCTGAATGCAAGTGTACAGATAGGATATGCCAAATTGATGTGTACAAGTAAATGAACAAAGATGCAAATTTACCCGTAGAACAGGGCCAAAATCCTCTTTTCCAGAAAGGATGGCCTAGTCGGAGTGTATATCCCTTTGAAACATCAGGATAATCCCAAACACTGCTAATAAGCCAGTGCTCTAGATTGCAGTAGTTCTGCCTTGGAGCCATGTTCCAAGGCACTGAAATAACATCAGCAGTATACTTCTGATCACTGGTTCTTTTTTTGGTGTTCAATAGTCATTACATCACTAAGAAAATTTGAAGCCTATGGCATTTCATCAATATCATGTTATCCTTTGGGTAACCAGCTTTCCAAACAGTTGATTGCCTGGAGACTGACAAGGGAGTTTTCCTACTTTTTCCCTTCTAACTACCTTTATGATACCTCAGCCTATCATCCTCTTACTCCTGAGCCAGTGAGTACTATGTAGAGAACTGCACCCATTGAGATACCTGTTGGTGAGAGGTCCCACAAAAGGGTTGACCAGAAGTTGCATCAAAGCCTTTGAAGCAAACAGAACCCCAACCCGCAAGTTCTCTTCCTCCAGAAACTCTGTGCCTTGCAAACAGTTGTTTTGTTGTGCTGGGATGGCTCCAGTGACTGGAGGGGGGATGGTGCCAGCATTGTCATCTGTCCATGCTGTGCCACTGGGTGCACTTTCTTCGATAGCCATGGTGTTGTTATCAAAGAAGGAGAAGATGGTGGAAAAGGCAGGAGAAGTAAGGACATGCTGAGAAATTGTGGTGAGGCCAAGGTATAGAGGAGCGTTGATTTCTTTGAACTCTGTGGCATATAGGAAGTTGGGTATAATGGGCACTGAAACAAGAAGGACAAGTGATGAGAGCTAAGCACACTTTTTAACACTAACTGGTTCAGGGGCATTACTATGAGCTTTATATTCATGTTGAGGAAGGTGTCTAAGTGACATGATTTGAAGCCTACTAAAAGACTGTACCTGCCCAAATTATCCTATTAGATTAAGTACCTAAATTCCAACCCACATACAATTGGTCCTCATTACTCCTGAATTCTGTATTGGCCAATCACCTACTTGCTAATATTTAGTTGTAATCACAAAATCAATGCCCGTGGAGTTTTCACAAGTTTTCTTGGACATGCATGCAGAGAGTGGGGAAAATTTCAAGTTACCAGATGCTTACTTTCACAGCTGAGGTCAAAGAATGTAGGCTCTGTCTTATTGTTTCAGCTCTCATATAGGGATGGCAGAGCATGAAAATGGAAGGGGCAGGGAAGTATAGTCCAAGAAGCTCCAGCCCTGGGGTCAGTTGGACACAGCCTGAACCCCGACTTGGCACCTAAGGCAAGTTACATAACACTTCTGAACCTCATTTTCTATTTTGTGTTTTCTAAGCATAAAAAGAAAAATTTTCAAGTCCACTCACTGCTGAACTTTAGCAGGTGTATGCTACCTGCTGGGGCCCAGGGCAAACTAACCCCCAGCCTAAAGACACCTGAACATACCCACTACAGTAAGCAGCATGTTGTCCAGAAGCAGAGCAACAAACACCACCACCAGTACCAGCTTCCGTGACTCTCTCCCCTCCTTGAGCAACCGCTGAGGAGTGTCCAAAAACACCCTGGGCATGGTGATGGCTGGGCTGGGAGCGTCCTCTCCAGTTTCTTATGAAAGGTCCCGTTACAGCTATAGGTCTTCTGCAGCCTTTATAGAAGAGGGGAGAAATTCTGCCCAGACAAGTGAAACTCACTATTAAAATGAAAAGTGCAAGTCGTTGCAAATACTAGGATGGTATTTGAACCATTTCTTTGCCTGTGTCTCTGCTCACTTCCTATACATCTCAATAATTCTACCTGGTTCTCAGATTGCCTTCTAAGAAAGCATTGCTTACCGGCTTTTTATATCTGGAATTCTACCTAGCACATTAAGCAGATTCTAGCTCTGTTCACTTAGCTCTGTGTCTCAAATGCCTATCACTTCAATGGTTTATGTCAATATCTGAGGCCTACTTGTATTATTACTTGTTCAATCTTTTCCTCTAAATCCACTCTTTTTAAAAACCAAAATACTATTGTTTTTTAAAAAAATTAATGTGCCATACAAAACAAATTATGGTTCATGTGTATGCACCAATCCAAAATTATAGCCTATGGTCTGTACTACCCCCAAATATGTCATGTGCTACAAGTGTTACTTGTGCTGCCCACAGAGAAACACTGACCTAGACCAACACTGTCAGTTCACAGATAAGTGTGAAGACTCAGGAGGCTAGGAGATCTGTTTCACACAATTAGTATCAAACTGGAATGAAACTCCAAGCTTTTTAACTTGCAGGATTATAGTCCACCATCTTCCCTTGTTCTGTGGTACTTGAAGCACTTCTATGTTGTTTGAGCTATAAATCCCTGCCCAGTAAGGTGTGTTACTGTGTATAAATAAAATACTGTCATAATTAGTTCTCTACTTAGGATTTCATGTCATTAGTCAGCATTAAGTCACAGTATTTTGTTAAACTTCAGGTAATAGCAATTTCAGGGAAGAATTTTTGTGTGTGTGTGTGTATGGCTTCTGTTGTGATATCAACAATACCAATCATACACGTTTTAATATATATTGCTGTCATGAAATGCATCAGGGTCTAAGATTTATGTAACCTTTTATTCAGTAACTCTACTTCTAAGAACATATCTTAAGGAAAAGATCAGAAGTGTGGCCAAAGATTTATGTTTAAAAGTACTAATTGCTGAATTATTTATATTAGTGAAAAAATCAAACATTTTAATGGTGGAATATAAACAGCTCTTAAAAATCATTTTTTCAAATAATTTCAATGACTTAGAAATACCCAATATAATGTTAAGTTAAAAAGGATATTAAACTGTATTTGCAGCTTGACCTCAATTATATAAAAAATTATGTGTCTATTTTAAAAGATTAGAAAGATACACACTCAAGTGTCAGCTATTATAATCACTGATTTAAATTATTTTTTTATTTTTCTGTAATTTCTAAATATTTTTTTTTCATTTTTTTTATAAAGATTTTTATTTATTTATTTGACAGAGAGAGAGATAGCGAGAGCAGGAACACAAGCAGGGGGAGTGGGAGAGGGAGAAGCAGGCTTCCTGCCGAGCAGGGAGCCCGATGTGGGACTCGATCCCAGGACCCTGGGATCATGACCTGAGCCGAAGACAGACGCTTAACGACTGAGTCACCCAGGCGCCCTGTAATTTCTAAATATTTTTTAATTAACTACTTTCATAATTAACATACTTTACAAGAAGTAAATAATTTTAAATGATTATCACTGGAGTTCAATAGTAAGTCTTAAATGTTGGGAGTATCCCAAGCACTGAGCTACTCTGTTCTATTCTAAGACCAGAGCTGGGAGAAGAACATCATCCATACTATAGTTCTAAGTGACCAAGAGGTCCGCACTGAACCAAATTCCCAGATAAGTTTTAACCAGAAAATGCATACAATCATTTAAGATCTTTCATTTCTCTATGTAAATAAGGTGTTTCTAAATACAAATTTACCTAAGATACATAAGGGAAAAAAAAGAGACTAGAAAAAAAAGGGGATAGAAAACTGAAGATGAAAATGGAATAAGTACTGTAAAGACAGATCGAAAAAACACAGCCAAACCAAACAAAACCAAACCAAGAATTTGCCAACCAGTCAGTAGTAAACTTTACCTTAGAGTCAAAATTCTCTGTTGAGAGACAAATTATAAGGAAGGATTAAATTGTGTCCAGGGAAAGAAACATCTTACCTTAGAGCCCATCTTATGTGAGGTACTCAGTGAGGTATTGGCAGCTGTTAGCAGTTCAGAAGGGACTCTGTTCTCTGAGTGGATGTTCTGATGGATTTATTGCCACCTGTTATCTGAGGATGTCATGTGTGCCCTTTGTCCACAAAGATTTAATTGGAACTTCCAACAGGTTTCATTCAGAGCCTTAGTTCCCTGCGTCAGAGGCAGGAAAGCAGGACTGGAGAGGATAAAGAGAGGGGGAAATTATCCTAAGGAAAGATAGACTGGGCTGTGCTGTTTTTCATCTGTGCTTATCTATCACTGAATTCATTAACTCTTGCCTAGGTCTGAATATAAATTGGCAGATAGAATGAAGCCAAAGTACAGTTCCTGTCCCTTGTTACTTAGTGAAAGAGACTCCATGTACCCCAATTGCTTTCTGGAAAGAAACAAATCTTAGAACATCCACCAGACCAAAACAAAAAATAAAAAAATATATGCATGTTGTTCTCAAATCATAAAAATCCAACCTCTATTTCCTCTCTAAGGCATAGATTGTGCTGTGATCTTTGCATCTCAATGCTCGCTGATTGCCTGGCATGTAGTGGCCTCCTATAAGTACTTCTTGTATGGATGACTGAATTAATGGCTACAGGAGAGAGTGTGGCTCATTGCGGGGTCTTGGAGTACGACTAGAGATCTGTATTTTTCTGACATTAAGAGTCATCAGTGGGGCAAAGAACTTAAGAACAAGAGCAGCAGCAGAGGTTTCCAATTTATGATCCCTCCTAACTGCTTTAAATAACTTGGGGACTTTCAATTTAGGGTCAGAAAAGAAGGAAAGAGTTTTAAAGGAAACCTGGAAAGAGAAATAAGGGGAAGAGGCAAGGACGTTAAGGGAGCATATGAGTTCCCTGTTGCTGCTGTAACAAATTACCACAAATTTAATGGCTTAAAACAACACAAATTTATTATCTTAGAGATTTGGAGGTCAGAACTCCAAAATAGGTTGTATTGAGCTAAAAATCAAGGTGTTCGCAGAACTGCAATTCTTCAAGAGGTTCTAGGAAATAATCTGTTTCCTTGCCTTTTTTAGCTTCTAGAAGCAGCCTGTGTTTCTTGGCTTAATGCAGCTCCCTTCCACCTTCAAGTCAGCAGCAAAGCACTAACTCATTTAACACACACACACACACACACACATTCTATCTCCCTAATTCTTAGCTTCCTATCTACTCCCTTTACTTATAAGAATTCATGTGATTGCATTAAGCCCATCCGGATGATCCAAAATAATCTCCTCCATCTCAAAATCCTGAACTTAATCACATCCACATAGGCTCTTTACCATGTAAGGTAACATATTCACAGGTTCTGGGATTTGAATGTGGACATCTCTGGGGCCATTGTTCTGCCTACTGTAGGGAGCATTGCATACTGTCCCTGTGGCCTGAGCCTTTACAAAGAGAGGGGGTTGTGGCCAAAATATGGAGGAGCCATATTAATAAAGACATTTACAAGACTCTAGGCATAATGTGGTGTCCTATGTGAAGCCCACGTGACACTTCTGCCACCGTGCTATCCACCCTAAGTGCAGTTCTGGAACCCTGAGGGCTTAGGAAAGCTACCAGCAAAGCAAAGCTATGATTAAGAGTGAACACCAGCAGCAGAGGGCTTGGGTGGAGCACCTCCACAGTGAAGAAAAAACTGTTCTGAGATACCACCAAACTGGGGATGCCTCACATAACTGGAAAGCCATGGTTTATGAGAGCTGAGGGCCTGAGAGAGCAGGTACAGGCTAAAAATAATCATACTTTATGCATTAATAGAAATAATGGCAACAGTAATAATAGCTATCATTTATTGAGCACCCACTATGTAAGGTATGTTTCTAATACATATATATAATTATACTCACAGGCTAGCCAAGCCTGGGGTGTTCTCACAAATGCTCATCACTGTTAATAATCAGAGTGTTGTCTATTAAATAGGAATGAGTTTTTATCTTCCTCCTGTTTAATTCTTAAAATTTTAATTCCAGTGTAGATAACATACAGTGTTATATTAGTTTCAGGTGTACAGTATAGTGATTCAACAGTTTCATATATTACTCAGTGTTCATCAAGATAAGTATACTCTTGGGTTCCTGGGTGGCTCAGTCCATTAAGTGTCTGCCTTCAGCTTAGGTCATAATCCCAGGGTTCTGGGATCAAGGCCGGCATCAGGCTCCCTGCTCAGTGGGGAGTCTGCTTCTTCCTCTCCCTCTGCCTTTCCCCCCACTAGTGTTCTTTCTCTCTCTCACTTGCTCACTCTCTCAAATAAATAAGTGTAAAAAAAAAAAAAGGTAAGTATACTCTTAATCCCCTTCATCAATTTCACCCATTTCCTTACCCATCTCCCCTTTGGTAGCCATCTGTTTGTTCTCTGTAGTTAAGAGTCTATTTCTTTGTCTCTTTCTTTCCCTTTGTTCATTTGTTTTGCTTTTTAAATTCCACAAATGAGTAAAATCATACGGCATTTGTCTTTCTCCAACTGGTGTATTTCTCTTAGCATTATACTCTTTAGATCCATCCATATTGTTGCAAATGGCAAGATTTCATTTTTCATGACTGAATAATATTCAATCCTATTGTATATATATGCCACATTTTCTTTATCTGTTCATCTGTCAGTGGACACTTGGGCTGCTTCCATGGTTTGGCTATTGTAAATAATGCTGCAATAAACATAGGGATGTATATATCCTTTTAAATTAGTGTTTTCATATTCTTTGGGTACACCCAGTAGTGCAATTACTGAATAGTAGGGTAGTTCTATTTTTAACTTTTTGAAGAAACTCCATACTGTTTTCCACAGAGGCTGCACCAGTTTGCATTCCCTCCAACAGTGCACAAAAGTTCATTTTTCTCTACGTCCACACCCATACTTGTTATTTCTTGAGTTTTTGATTTTAGCCATTCTGACAGGTGTAAGGTGATATCTTTGTGGTTTTGATTTGCATTTCCCTGATAATCAGTGATGTTGAGCATCTTTTTATATGTCTGTTGGCCATACCTGATGTCTTCTTTGGAAAAATGTCAGTTCATGTCTTCTGTCCATTTTTTAATTGAATTATTTGGTTTTTGTATAAGTTCTTTCTGTAGTTTGAATATTGGTCCTCTATTGGATATGTCATTTGCAATTATCTTCTCTCATTCAGTATGTTGTCTTTTAGTCTTATTGGTTGTTTTCTTTTACTGTGCAGAAGCTTTTTATTTTGATGTAATCCCAATAGTGTATTTTTGCTTTTGTTTCCCTTGCCTCAGGAGACATATCTAGCAGGATGTTGCTATGAACAATGCCAGAGAATTTACTGTCTGGGCTCTCTTTTAGGATGGTTTCAGGTCTCACATTTACATCCTTAATGCATTTTGAGTTTATTTTTGTGTATGGTATAAGAAAGTGGTCCAGTTTCTTTCTTTTACATGTAGCTGTCCAGTTTTCCCATCACCATTTGTTGACAAGACTATCTTTTTCTCATTTCATATTCTTGCCTCCTTTGTCAGAGATTAATTGACCATATAATTGTGGGCTTATTTCTGGGCTCTCTGATCTTTTGATCTATGTGTCTACTTTTGTGCCAGTACCATATTGTTTTGATTACTACAGCTTTGTAATATAACTTGAAGTCTGGAATTGTGATACTTCCAGTTTTGCTTTTCTGTTTCAAGGTTACTTTGGCTATTCGGGATCTTTTGTGGTTTCATACAAATTTTAGGATTGTTTGTTCTAGTACTGTGAAAAATGTTGTTGGTATTTTGATAGGGATTGCATTAAATGTGTAGATTGCTTTGTGTAGTATAGACATTTCAACAATATTTGTTTTTCCAATCCATGAGCATGGAATGGCTTTCAATTTTTTTGTGTTGTCTTCAATTTCTTTCATCAGTGTTTTATAGTTTTCAAAAAAAAAGTCTTTCACATTTTTGTAAGTTTATTCCTAGAAATATTATTATTTTTGGTGCAATTGTAAATGGAATTGTTTTCTTATTTCTCCTTCTGCTGCTTCATTATTAGCATATAGAAATGCAATGGATTTCTGCACATTGATTTTGTATCCTCAACTTTACTGAATTAATTTATCAGTTTTTCCATCCTCTTGTTTAATTTCTTAATGTAAAAAAAATGAAGCTGATATGTATATAATGAAAGCAAATTTATGCACTATTAATACACTATTAGTAGCTATGCAAACAGATACAATTCTTTTATTTTTATTTTTTAAAAATTTTTTAAAGATTTTATTTATTTATGTGACAGAGAGAGACACAGAAGGGGGAGTTGGAGAGGGAGAAGCAGGCTTCCCGCTGAGTAGGGAGCCTGATGCAGGGCTCGATCCCAGGACCCTGGGATCATGACCTGAGCCAAAGGCAGATGCTTACCAACTGAGCCACCCAGGTGCCCTAAAATTCTTTTAGAAAGCAATTTGGGTTTCTATCTTTTGTCTTTTAAGTCATAAAATGTTCATACCTTTTGACCTAGTAACTTCACTTCTTAGGAATCTATTCTAAGAAAATAAGCTAAAATATGTGGGGAATATGATAAGTACAAGATTTTTATCATAGCATTTAGGAAAATTGAAAATATCAAACATCAAATATCCAACTATAAAAAAAGTGTAAGTACATGGGCTTAAGAACTATCATGTTGTTGTTAAAACAGAGAAGAAAAGATTATTATGAAGACTACATATCAACCTGGAAAAAATTTATCTAGGCATATACATAGTTATTATAATGGGAATGAAAGGTAGGACATAGCACTTTATGTATATTCATGGCAGAATTATGCACAATTGCCAAAAAGTAGAGGTCACCCCAAATATTCATTGATGTATGAATGGGTAAACAAAATGTGGTATATCCATACAGTGGGCTATTAAAAGTGGGGTATACCCATAGAGTGCTTCCTTTAAAAGGAAGGCAATTCTGGGGCACCTGGGTGGTGCAGTTGGTTGATCCTTGGTTTCATCTCAGATCAAGATCTTGAGGACATTATAAATAAAATAAAATAAGCCAATCACA